TACATTTCGTCAAAAAACATAACGACTTTTGATAGAAGGGTTTAGTTACTAAAATTTTAGAGTTTAGATGCTCAATTAATACAAAAATTAGTTTAGGGATTTAATTGCTAAAATTTTTGAGTTTAGAGACTTAATTGTTAAAATTTTTGAGTCTAGAGACTTGATTCATATAAGGTCATAGTTTAAGGGTTATTTGTGTAATTTACTATCGTATATAATTATAATAAATTTAGTCAATGGATAGTTAAATGTAATTTTTTTTAAAAAAAAAGTCATGTATACAATTAAAGTGAAAAAAAATAATCAAAATTTTGTATGTTGTTGTGTGTTATAAGTTGAGAATTCACGAAGAAATATTGGATTAGATTTTGATTAGATTAGATAGATATGACAATGAGTGTCAAGGATTAAGAGTTGGACATTGGACTGAGCTCTTCCATTTTCGTCCAACTAACGAAAAGGAAAACAACATACACTCTCGATTAGTTCTTCATCTCTTCAGGAACTCCGAATCTTTGCTTCTCTCTTTCTCTCTCTCATCTACATAGACACGCGGAGTAGCCAAAAGCCGTATCCTTGGCCACATTCCTCACGTTTGGGACAATCTTTTTGTCTTTATTAAATGACACAGTCGCTGGATCTGTGATTGCTTACCGAGTTCTAGGGTTCTGTGAAGGGCAGGCACAATTTAGAAATTTCAGATTAAGCTTTCCAAATCTACAACTCTATTTGGAGGTGAGATATGTTTATCATATGGATTTTACTTCTCGGTGGATTTTGTACATTGCCCTTATGCCCTTTCTTCTTTTCGTAGTCCTGCATCAACATTGTGCGATTATTTTAGTAATATCTTACAGATCAGATTTTTCCACTACTTTGATTCAGTGTTCTTCATGCTCACTACTGTTTTGCTTGATTATTGTTCGTGTTGCCAATATACTTATGGAGGCTATGTTGTTTAAGTTCTGTCCCTATTGTGACGATACTTCAGCGAGTGCGCTTCAATTCTACTTACATTATATTCTTGCACCTTGATTGGTAACATCTTCTTGGTTTATCATATTCTTTTTAGGAGCAAAATATTGGCTTGCTTCATTTTCCTGCCTGTATTCCCCTGTTTTAAAATAATTTGACCAATTGTTATGGGATAGTAGCATGTGGCGTGTGTTGTATGCTGTGTCTTTGCTCTCACTTCACCACAAAGTAACAATTAAAACACAAATGGGCTGAAACTTAGGCCTCCTAAGTGAACATTTGAGTTTGCTATTCTAAAAGCGAAGTTTTTCCCTCAGTCACTGCTTATTGACAAGACAAAGGGAAAAAATAAGGAAACCAGACTTTAACTAAATTTGTCTATAAAAATATCATGCATATATTAGCCATTAAAGAGCACTTGCTTATCAATTTCATATGGAATCCATAGAGTGTAATGATGGAATGATAAGATAATTTAAATTTCTTTTGTCAAGCTATTAATGATGTTCCTATGATTTCGAGTTAATGAGACATTCAAATGTTGCACTTATGTCAGTTGCTTGGTATTATACTTGCTTTTCCATTCCTTTTCAGGTCCTAGCAATGCCCATTCTAGTTACAATAAAAGCCTTGCTTCTATGAACTGGCACTCTGTTGAGCAATGAATAAGGGGGTGAATACTTGGTCTTGAGCTGCAATTCAGCACCTTTTATCTGGCAAAAGCTGTTTGGGGATCCTATTAATTCTGGCCTTAGTTTGGAGCCCATTGTTTCAGAAAGAGCTAGAAATCACCAGTAGAGGTGTTAGTGATATATAAGCTGACACCATGATCAGTAAACAACTTTTGTTGACCTATTTCTATCTCCTGGTTTACATATTGCTTTCATCAGGAGTTATATTGTACAACAAGGTATGCACCATCATGCTTTATTTATATATGATGCAACTTATTTACTTCTCGTGAACCTTTCTTGTATGGTAATTGGGATCATTCTTTATTCATTCACACTGTTTATTGCGAACCCAGAGAAAAGAGGACAACATTCTTTAATAGTTGATTGATCAAATGCTTGGATCAAACTAAACTTACTGACTTTGCATCAAGATCTACTGGGGTCTATTTCATATTGTTATGCTACACTGGTCTGCGTATGTGTCGTATGCATGCATGTATCTGTGCTTATTTTATATGGGGCTATACAATTGCTTGACTATGTCTAAGGTATGTGGGTCAGGGGGATTTTACACCATTAACATCAATCTACATGAAAATAAATGTTAACACTAATCTGAACAAATCTGGGAATTATTATGATAAGCCAATGGCTTGTAAAGTGCACCAAGGTGAGGCGAGGTGCACTTGAAGTGCCTCAATCAATGGGCCGCAGGTGAATAGCTGAGACGCAATCGATACACGCACTTCGGTTTTTTGCACAAGGCCCATGAGGCGTGGGGTATTTTTTCCATCTCTCTAGTGATATATTTTGGTCCACTGATATGCTTAATACCAGAATAGAACTCCAAATACAGAATTCTACCTTTATACTTGGTAGATCCAGTTTTATCTAACTCCAATTATATATATATACTAGTCATAACCCGTGTATGAAGGTACGATAAAATATAAAATTCTAGCGTTCAAAAAATGAATTTTACCATATTAAATTTTTTCAAAATATATTAATTACAAATTAATTAAATATTGAATAATTAAATATATAATAAAAATGAGTGGTGTGATATTTTTAGGGAGGAAATATATAAATGATTAAATATGTGATAGAAATGAGTGATGTGATTTGACGTTTGAATCTGATAAAGGGATGATGGATGAGGTAAGTGACTGGTGATAGTTTTGAGGGAGAAAATATGACTGGGATAAAATTCAAACACACTCCTGTTTTATTATATATATATATATATATATATATATATATATATATATATATATTGGGGGTTTATTGATCTTTGTCTTTCTCGTTTGTCATCCTTGTCCTCAGCCCTCTTTCTGTAACTCTATGATTCTACCCTTTTTTGTGCATCTCTTTGGCTCTCTCATTTTTCTTTCTTTTGTTTTTTTTTGTAATCAACCCCGTTTTTAAAAAAATAAACCTTTTTTTTGTTCAATTAACCCCAATACTTTTTAAGTTTACCTTTGGTTATGAGAAATGCACTTCTTTGTATCTGCTTGACTTTTTCTTCCCCCTTCTCATTCGTTATGACTGTGTTCTGCACTTTTTTTAGCCTGTAATAAAACTTGGTTTTGGAATTGATCAAGTATGCTAATAATCTTGGAATAGCTTTATTTGTGAAATATGTTGATATCTGATGTCTTTTGTTGAAATTTGATGTTGAAAGTTACTCAATTTTTATATCTGATGTCTTCAATGTGATTTGGTTTTATGCTACTGAGATTAGCTGGCCTGAAATGACTTGTATATATTGTCTTTGAATGAACTTAGCTTTATTTTACAAAAGGTTGTTTATATTCTTTGCTAAAATTTGATGTTGGAAGCTGATTAAGTTTGCTAGGAATATCACTGTAATTTGCTCTATGCTGTAGAGATGAGCTAACATGTTGTATGTTTTGAAATTTTCATGATTTTTTTGCATTTAGTTGGATTTTCGTTGTAATTTCAAGTTTTCACATATTATCTACGACATGTGCATCACTTTGATGAAACCCGAGCTTCACCTTGTCCCTCGCGCCAAATCCTCAAGAGACCTCAACGCCTTGGTGCACCTTTCACCATAGTTAACAGTAATGATAACTCCAAACCATGTTGTAATAGATCTAAGACCCACATGATAACAAAAGAATCAGATGGTTGAATTTCTGTAATTCACATTGATTTTTTTTTTAATGAATTTTGTTAATATCCACCAGTTCAGTAAATTTGTGGGTAAGCAAAATAAATGTGCCTTGAACTGTGACACAAGTATCAATTATCTCGATTTTAACCTTTAGCGCTTATAATGATAACAAACAATATCTTTAGCCAATTAATGATTAAAACTAACGGAAAAGCCCTCGATACTTGTTTCCTTTCCCCACTCATTCTCAACTTTTCTGTGGTTTCCATTTGTTTTTACTCTTGAACTAGACGGCTACAAATTTTAAGAGTTACATAGGTATAATTGAAAAATATGAAGTTGAGGAAGCAGTTGAAACTAGTGCCCTTTCCCCCTTGTCCGTTATGAGCTTGGTCAACACTTGAAGCTTGAGTTGAGCTTTGAACCTGCACTTTTCAAAGTGAGGCAGAGCAATATGCCTGAAGTCTTACTTAATCAAATCAATGTAATATGGAAACTTTCATATCTTCTTGCAATATTGCAGAGCTGCAAGTGTTCTTCATGTTGGTGCTTTGAATAGTTGATCCTACATTTTTAGTTTAAGTTTGATACAGTTTTATAAAGTACAATTATGAAGGCCAATCGTGATACATACTACAAAGATAAGGTTTTAGCTGAATAATTATTCTGGTTTACATTGGTGCATTCGCATGTTCTGTTTGCATGAGTTGTAACAGGTATTGTAATATTCTACCAATCCTACTCACGTTGCAGGTTGCCTAACATGAGGTGACAACACCTCAGCCAATTAAATAAAGAACCGCAGGCGAGATTATGCCACCTCACTCTTGACGCGTGCTAGTCACTTGTACACAGTGTAATAACCTTTTTTGTGCAATGTATAACTCATGTTCCACCTAATCTACCACCTGGCATGTAGAGATTAATATTCTTGGAGGTACTCCTGTTATGTTTCAAAAGGAAAAAGGGTTAATAAGGCTAGGACTAAGTATCCAGTCGATTTATTTTTTGATGAGTGTATTTTAGAATGTTATATATACCAGTTAATTGCATTATATCCTACATCATGTATGTTGAAATTTTTTATTAATTGCCGGAATTACTTGTATTAGCTAATATGTATCTTGATTTTATTTTTGGCTCATTTGCAGTGGGTGCTCTCTCCAAAATACTTCAATTTTCCATTTCCAATAACACTTACCATGATTCATATGGGATTTTCTGGTCTGGTGGCCTTTTTTCTTATCCGTGTGTCAAAGGTATGGTCATCTTGGAACTTCCATTCTCTGCTTGCTGGATTCACTTCTATACGTTTCTTGTTTTTGGTTTGTTTAAGGATTCATAAATAAAGAACGAAATGGCAACTCTTTTATCTAAATTATTATATGATGGCTATTTCTATGTTAGTGGATCAAATATTGCTTTATCTAAATTCCTTTATGATGCGTGATAACTATTTCTATGTTAGTGGATCAGATACTCATATTGATGTAGTAGATTACAAATTATGAAGCATGAATACAGATAAGATTGGATACGGATACGACAATATGACAAAATCTAAAAAAAAAGATATGAGAACGGTTAGGATACGTCCATAAAATATATTTTTAAAATTGTTTTATTATTATATTTAATGTAATAATTATGATTTATAAAGTGAATCACACACCTATCAAAGATATATAATAATAATTAACCATTCTATCATTTATAAATCATACATTGTACATCCCATACATATTGCATAATATCAAGTCCAACAGTAAAACAGTTCAAATGCAACAATAGGCAGTAGCAAGTAATACACCTAAAATACTACTGTTTTTTTTTTTGATCCAACAAATACAACCGTTCAAATGCAGTATTTCACTGGTAAAAGAGAAAAGTGCTAATCATCGGTAAAAGACAAAAGAGAGGAGAGAGAGACACAGAGAGATGAGTGAACTTACCTGATGATACCTAGACAGAGAGAGAGGAGACACTCGTTGATCGTCAATTTGCACTTCAACAGTATAAGAAGGGAGGAGAGATGTCATCGGCATTGAGAGGCCGTCGGAGGTGAGAGAGAGAGAGAGAAGAGAGGTAGTATCGGTCGNGGAGGAGAGATGTCATCGGCATTGAGAGGCCGTCGGAGGTGAGAGAGAGAGAGAGAGAGAGAGAGAGAGAAGAGAGGTAGTATCGGTCGATGATATTCAACTGAGTAGAGGGGGGTTTTGTCGAATAAGAATAGAACTTAGATTTTTTTTTTTTTTTTGCAAATAAGGGCCCAAACATATTTGTTTTGGTGCCCCTATTCTTTTTTAAAAAAGCAAATAATACCCTATTGTATCTCTAGACGTATCCTGACATATTCGAAATTCAAATATTTTTTTTTTAATTCTAGGATACTTCTCAGCTGTATTGGATATGTATCTGGCCGTATTGGACGCGTATCCGTATCTAAGAAGTATTCGATATCGATACTTTGACCCATTTGAATTATCCGTGCTTCATAGATTACAAATCAATCCATACATTTTTTTTTTATGAAAGATACACAAAATCAAGCACACAAATTTAACTACTTACCCAACATCAAAAACTGATCACGGGTATTTAGGAAGGTCAATAAGTCCTATTAAACACACCACCTTAAAAGGATCTAAATTTTGAAGGAGTAGGTGAGAGCTTATCACTCAAACGGCAGAATCTTGCTGCAGCGACGTGGGATTTTGCATCATTTTTTTTTTGATGATAAAAGACATGCACAAATCAAGCTCACAAATTTAAATATTTACCCAACATTTACAACAAATCATAGGAATCCATGCATGTTTATTCTCGTGATTTTTGTATGCATTTTCCAATGATGTTTATCATGTATATTCTAGTTACAACGTCATTGTATATTATATTGTGATAATAAACAACTTCATTCTATTTGACATAAAAAAGGGCAGCCCAATGCACAAAACTATTGGCGCTACGGGGTTGGGGAGGGTTAGATGCATGTAGTTTTACAACCCACATGTAGAGTGTTTCTGTGGCTCAAATCTTTGAACCAAAAGTTTTGGTGTTGCATAAGTATGTCTTTCATTTTAGGAGTTTGATTGAACGAGACACCCAAAACTTGAGACACATTTTGATCTTGGTATTTGACAAAAAACTTATCGATCTACATTAAAATTTTGTTTTTTTTATGTCTTTTCACATCATGCCCTAGGTCCCCAAGCGGCCATTCATGGGAATGTGACTAAATGATTTTCTTTGATACCTTCATATAGCTGTGCCTCTGTTTTTGTATTTTATATTTTGCATTTTGACTTTTGCTCGTGTAAAGCCGCGTAGAAGAATTTGGTCATCATGATTTAACTTGCATGCACATGATGAGTGGTGCAAGCCGGACCAANCTAGGTCCCCAAGCGGCCATTCATGGGAATGTGACTAAATGATTTTCTTTGATACCCTTCATATAGCTGTGCCTCTGTTTTTGTATTTTATATTTTGCATTTTGACTTTTGCTCTTGTAAAGCCGCGTAGAAGAATTTGGTCATCATGATTTAACTTGCATGCACATGATGAGTGGTGCAATCCGGACCGAGTTTCTTCTTAATTTTTCCCCATTGATTTGTACTTTTTGCTATCTATATACCTATTAATTATTGACAGCTTTGTGAATACTTTATATTCTTTTTTCTCTTTTTTCATTTTTTTGCCCCAACAAATACTTAAACGATGCATTTTCTTCTGTATGGCCTAATCTGATATTGTTGTGTGCAGGTTGTGTCTCCTGTCAAAATGACATTTGAAATGTAAGAAAGTTACATGTACACATCTATTTCATTTAGTCCAAATATTTCTTTCCATGACTATTTTTATTGCGTATGCAGATACGTGACATGTGTGGTTCCTATAAGTGCCTTCTTTGCATCAAGTCTATGGTAAGTGCTTCTTTTGGAATAACTAGATTTTTTTGACTCCTCCNGACATGTGTGGTTCCTATAAGTGCCTTCTTTGCATCAAGTCTATGGTAAGTGCTTCCTTTTTGGAATAACTAGATTTTTTTGACTCCTCCTATTGTGTTCCATCTGTCATAAAAGAGATAGGTTTTTCATCTTATTCGTGATAGCATGGGGGTGAGTATTACATCTATAACTCAAGCCTAGACCCACAGTGGCTGGAGCTTCGTGCACTGAGTCCAATTAGAGGAAGTACCATTGTATTTGACAATGAAGTTATGTAATCCTCTAAGAGCATTGACATTTGGCCTCTGGTGACTGATAAAAAANCACAGTGGCTGGAGCTTCGTGCACTGAGTCCAATTAGAGGAAGTACCATTGTATTTAACAATGAAGTTATGTAATCCTCTAAGAGCGTTGACATTTGGCCTCTGGTGACTGATAAAAAACTCTTGCTGAGCAATCTCATATGCAGTGAGAATATAATCAAAGTTTTCTCGTTTCCTTGCACAATACTTGTCGCAGAATCCCATTCTCTTTTAATAACGCTGGCAAAACAACTTTAGTAGCAGAACAAGGGGTTTGCAAATTTGCTTTCGTAGCCATTCGTTTTCTGGGCTGCCCTTTTTCTTTCACAACACTTTTTCCATTACCAATCTGCGATTGACCAAATCTACCTGCTGCAGTAAACCCTAATCTCTTTGATAACCTGGGTTGCCCTGCCAAGCTGGTCAAACCATCAGGGTCATTGCACTAAGATGACCTGGGACATCCATGAGTGTTCATTAATATGCTCCTTTATAGATAAGATTGATACTACCTTTTTTTTTTTGCCATATAGCATTTCTATCCTCATTTCTGCAGCGATGCTTGGTTTTAGGCTGATATCAATTAGTTTCTGCATAAATGTTTTTACTAAAGCTGAACTTTTTGTTAATTAATGCAAGTTTTTTCTGCAAATTCCATTGAAAAAAGGTTTTCGCCTTTTTTTAAATTTTCATTTCTGGTCTATAGTGCAATATTCTCACATCTCCCTTTTTTCCATGCAAAAAGTTAACTGAGATGATGCATTGATTATAAGCATTATGATACAATTTGTTCAGGCATTTTATATTGTTGAAGTCTGAAAATATGCTCTCTTCTGGTGGTGTCTTTGATGTTCAGCTTATCAGTCAAAAGGTTATGGATAGTATCTGTTTTTAAGTACTTGAATTTTAAATCATCGTGAGTAGGCTTCTTCGTTGCATAATACTTCTTTCATCTCTTTGTGCTAAAGCATAAACTAGTTATCAGACTGTAAATATTTGGAGAGTGAAATTCTGCATTTGATGTGGCCTCATAAATTGTCTCAGTTCAAAACTTTAGCATGTTGCAGTAACTCTTAATTCTTTAAAGCAGCAACTTTTGTGTTATTACAGGTTTGGCAACACTGCTTATTTGTTTATTTCTGTCGCCTTCATCCAGATGCTCAAAGCTCTAAGTATGTTTTATATACCGTGTCTTTTTTCTAAATTTTTGTCTGTGCTTTTGATTTTCACTATTCACCAGTGTGGTGGTTTACATTGAAATTTTACAGTGCCTGTGGCGACGTTTGCCGTGGCTGTTATCTGTGGCACTGAAAAATTAAGATGCGACTTATTCTTGAACATGGTGTTGGTCAGTGTTGGAGTTGTCGTTTCCTCATACGGTGAAATTCACTTCAATATAGTGGGGACAGTTTATCAGGTTACAGGGATATTTGCCGAAGCTCTTAGGCTGGTCTTAACTCAAGTTCTTCTCCAAAAAAAGGGCCTTACACTGAATCCTATTACCAGCTTATATTACATCGCACCGTGCAGGTACTCTGCATCAATATTTTGAATTTTTATTTGTATTCGAACACATCGACTAAGTGTTTGATGCATGTTCATGCCGCACTTGTTACAACATATAGGTATCTTAATAGAAAAATGACGAATAAATTATTCTTTTTTATCCTCATCAGTTGAAGTTGCAGAGTATCGTTCACTTTTTTTTGGGTGGAAATAATTATCTGCCTCATTTTGGTTGGAATTAGTTATCTACATAGGTTGAGGATCATTTATTCTTATGATAATTGGCAGTCCTTTAGCTTTCTCTGTTTAACCTATTTTTTGACAGTTGAATGGGTATGATGCTTTAGTTTGTGGTAGGGTTGTAATTACGCTGTTCTATGGAATTCTTATTATCATTTCATTTTCTTGTGCAGCTTTGTGTTTCTCTTTGTTCCTTGGTATCTTTTGGAGAAGCCTGGAATGGAAGTTTCACAGATCCAGTTCAATCTTTGGATATTTTTCTCTAATGCTCTTTGTGCTCTGGCGTTGAATTTCTCAATTTTCTTAGTAATTGGTAGAACCGGTGCAGTGACTGTTCGAGTTGCTGGTGTCTTGAAAGACTGGATATTGATTGCCCTTTCAAGTATGATATTTCCAGAGTCAACAATTACCACTCTTAACATTGTTGGCTATGCAATTGGTACTCTTTCCATTCCATGGTGAATTTATATGCTTTGAACTACTAATCCAAAGTTTCATTAGAAGTGATGTTTTTTTCTTCAGCTTTATGCGGTGTGGTCATGTACAATTACTTGAAGGTCAAGGATGTTCGTGCAGCCCAACTTCCTGTTGAAAGTATCGCAGAAAGAGCATCAAAGGTCAATCTTCTATTTTTGATTAAATTTTGAAATTTAAAGTTACTATCTAGATAAACTTTTGATATTCCTTAGTTATTGCATTTAGATTTTGAACCCTTACCATTACATTATGATTTTGGGTAAATTGTACCAATGGTCCCTGAGGTTTAACATTTATCGCACTTTCGTCCTCAAAGTTTCAATTTCGTCAATTTGATCTTCAAAGTTCAAACTTTCAGCGAATATGGTCCTCGACACTAACTACCATCAAAAAATGCATCTTTCGCCACTCTGGTATTTCCTCATCAAACAATGCATCTTTCTTTGTCTCTTTTTATGTCTCAAACACTAGCACAGACACGACAAACATTCACAAAACCACACACAAACACACAGACACAGACAATCTGCAAGACATTCTCTCTCCACAAATATAAATATAAATATATATATATATAACAAATACACAAACAAAACAACATACAAATACCTGATTTGCTAAAATATTCTGTGGCAATCAAGCTACAATTCATGGCACAGGCTCGAAATTGCTCACAAGTCAAATTCGATATTGCGATTTCAATGTTGGATTGATGAAGAATCAGATTTGAACTGGGTATTAGGTTTTGATTGTGAAATTTGCACTAGATCTCTATTTCTCTCTCCCCTAAGTTCTCTATTTCATATTTCAAAATTTATCTGGGTATATGAGAATTGATGGCTGTGGGCCTGTGGCATAGTTGTGGTGGTGGCCGTGGTGGGTTTGTGTGCATGTGGTGGAGGAGGAGATGAATGGGTTTTGGACCATAGATGGGTTGATGAATGGGTTAGAGTTTCTCCTATATTTGTGTGTGAGGTGTTGAGAATGCAAGGGAGAGAAGAGAGGGGGAAGAGGAAAAGGAGCGAGATTGAGTCATTTAGACATTGGATGGTGTCCATGGATATCATCGGTGGAAGGTGGATTGCTGCAGTGGAGAGAGAGAGAGAGAGAGAGAGAGAGAGAGATGGGGTAGTTGCTAATGATGACTAAGAATGACTATCAATGCTCAGGGATATCGAGGGGAAGGAAAGGGGAGGGGATGTAGTCGACAGTACTTGGATTGCCGGCAGTGACTTAGGATTGCAAGCGCTGTTCAGGGGTTAAAGTATGGGACTGGGAGTGTCTTGACAATGACATAAATGCCAGTGAATATGCTCATATGCCAGACATATGACATTTTCCATCACTTTTTTTGACGGCAGGTAGTGTTAAGGACCATATTCGTTGAAAGTTTGAATTTTGAGGATCAAATTGACGAAATTGAAACTTTGAGGACCAAAGTGTGATAAACGTTAAACCTCAGGGACCATTGGTGCAATTTACCCTATGATTTTCTGGACTAAAGTTCTGATGTGCGAGATCCCTGTAGAAAACATTGTGATTGCTGCTTTTATGTGATGATAACTGTAAAGTTGCTGGATGTCAGACAAACATTGTGTGTCAACTCAGTGAGAATACCGATGCTATATATGTTCACCAGTAACAGGTCCTTGTTTGACCCACTCTTTTGATGAACACGTTTTAAATGACACGATTGCATTCATCTCAACTGTTACTATCTGGGCTAAGTATGGTCATATGCATGCACTACGTTTGTAAGAACTCCAAAATGTAAAGTATTTGATGTGAGAAAGCAGGAAGTTCTAATGAGGTTGATGGATGATATTCTAACGAGGCACTCAAATTGTTCAACTGCTCTACAAAGTTCATTTGTTGCCCTAACAACAATTGGTTGCTATGTCATTTTTCTTCTCCTTTTAAGAGACATGCCATATGACTGGTAAAACTAAAATAGATAAGTTGTACTTAAGTGGTTCTGGAACGATGGATTCTACATGTACTGATTTGGTTGGTGTGGCTTCTGTGTTTCCAGTGATATATTTGTTTTGTCTGTGATGTTAAGGCTGTATGTTTTCACGTCTTTCAACAGGACCTGAAGATGGAAAGGAAGTCATCAGATATATATGTACCTGAGAACAATAATACCCATAGCAGTGGAGGAAAGAATGGTTCTGCTTATGATCTAAATATGGATGAAGAAGCACCTTTAATTCCTTCCTCAAGGGTCTCTCATCTTGGGCGAAGTCAACTTAGCCACACCGCATGACTAGTGTTAGTTGAACCGCAAACCCTATTGCACTTTGTTCCCTTATTAGGATGCTTAATTTGTTGAAACCTGTGAAACAATAAAAAATGATGAAAACAGCTTTGAAGTAGTATACACCCAGTTCTTTTTTGTGAAGAGTTACCATTCTTTGCAGAGCATCTCCACTTTTAAANCCTTATTAGGATGCTTAATTTGTTGAAACCTGTGAAACAATAAAAAATGATGAAAAACAGCTTTGAAGTAGTATACACCCAGTTCTTTTTTGTGAAGAGTTACCATTCTTTGCAGAGCATCTCCACTTTTACATTTAATTTGTGATTCATGGTGAAGACAGACTTGTAGTTGAAGCATGCAATGTAGTAATATCTTGTGCTGCTTTGAACTTTTTCAACGTTGATTACACAGTGAGTTGCCTTAATGGTATGAAATTGAAAAGAAGTGTTGGATTGTTTCTGGCATGGATGTTCCCCCACTGGCTAGCCATGCTGCAAATAAGCNTATGTGATGATAACTGTAAAGTTGCTGGATGTCAGACAAACATTGTGTGTCAACTCAGTGAGAATACCGATGCTATATATGTTCACCAGTAACAGGTCCTTGTTTGACCCACTCTTTGGATGAACACGTTTCAAATGACACGATTGCATTCATCTCAACTGTTACTATCTGGGCTAAGTATGGTCATATGCATGCACTACGTTTGTAAGAACTCCAAAATGTAAAGTATTTGATGTGAGAAAGCAGGAAGTTCTAATGAGGTTGATGGATGATATTCTAACGAGGCACTCAAATTGTTCAACTGCTCTACAAAGTTCATTTGTTGCCCTAACAACAATTGGTTGCTATGTCATTTTTCTTCTCCTTTTAAGAGACATGCCATATGACTGGTAAAACTAAAATAGATAAGTTGTACTTAAGTGGTTCTGGAACGATGGATTCTACATGTACTGATTTGGTTGGTGTGGCTTCTGTGTTTCCAGTGATATATTTGTTTTGTCTGTGATGTTAAGGCTGTATGTTTTCACGTCTTTCAACAGGACCTGAAGATGGAAAGGAAGTCATCAGATATATATGTACCTGAGAACAATAATACCCATAGCAGTGGAGGAAAGAATGGTTCTGCTTATGATCTAAATATGGATGAAGAAGCACCTTTAATTCCTTCCTCAAGGGTCTCTCATCTTGGGCGAAGTCAACTTAGCCACACCGCATGACTAGTGTTAGTTGAACCGCAAACCCTATTGCACTTTGTTCCCTTATTAGGATGCTTAATTTGTTGAAACCTGTGAAACAATAAAAAATGATGAAAACAGCTTTGAAGTAGTATACACCCAGTTCTTTTTTGTGAAGAGTTACCATTCTTTGCAGAGCATCTCCACTTTTAAATTTAATTTGTGATTCATGGTGAAGACAGACTTGTAGTTGAAGCATGCAATGTAGTAATATCTTGTGCTGCTTTGAACTTTTTCAACGTTGATTACACAGTGAGTTGCCTTAATGGTATGAAATTGAAAAGAACTGTTGGAATGTTTCTGGCATGGATGTTCCCCCACTGGCTAGCCATGCTGCAAATAAGCCACTCCGGCTCATTTGGAACATTGTTGGGGCTTTGACCTTGAGGACAAGATGAAAGGTGTGCAAAGTAGTAGTCTAATCTTGAGGTCAAGTAAACGGCTTCATAACTGTTTTCTTCTTAGTGCATTGAGACGAGCTCGAGGAGGAAAAAAGTTAGTTCCCTGTATTATAGATAATGTGGTGTTTGGGTGTCTGTGTGATGGTCTGATAAACAGTACCATAGACCTTCTCAGGGCGTCTTTGTGTTATGGTAAAATCTGGACCAGCCCACTCATATCAACCATCACGTTACACTGTAGAATTGTAAAGTCCGTTGTTCTTATTGTCATATGACTATTGATTTGCAGCTGCACTGTTCAAATAAATGTTCTCTACTAATAATTTGCGTAGTGGATTTTGAACAAGTATTANTACCATAGACCTTCTCAGGGCGTCTTTGTGTTATGGTAAAATCTGGACCAGCCCACTCATATCAACCATCACGTTACACTGTAGAATTGTAAAGTCCATTGTTCTTATTGTCATATGACTATTGATTTGCAGCTGCACTGTTCAAGTAAATGTTCTCTACTAATAATTTGCGTAGTGGATTTTGAACAAGTATTAAGTCTGAAGGATTAACATTTGACAGAAAGCAACAAAAATTGGTAATTTCAATTGATGCAGTCCCCAGTAAGATCCTAGGTGGGTTGGAAGGTCACCGTCTTTTACAGTCGCCTGCCTGCCTGCCGTGCGCGCTACAAGTTTTGTGTTTGTCTTGTCTTCCTTAAAGGAATTTTAATTTATTTAATAGGTTTTTTGGATCAAGTTAAATTTTTTATTTAAATTTGAGTAAAAATTGGAGATGCAAAATATTTTGTATTTGTTCTATATAAGATAAAGACCTAAATAATGAATATTGTCGATAATAATTAGTGTGCTGGGGGGGGGGTATTGATTAAGAGAGATGACTTATGTGAAATAAATATTAAGTATATCACGCCATTAATATCACAATTAATTATAAAATAACAGAAAAATTAGTTAACTTCACCACTCCGAATCCACTGTGATAGTTAATGCATGAGTCCCAAGGGCATGGGAATGAAAATGGAAGCCAAAAGAAAATAATTAAACTAATAATAAAGTTGGAAAGAGGAAGGGTAGTTCCGGCAAGGCAAGACTTATTTTTTTGCTTTTACTTTTACTTTTTGGAACGGGCTGGGCAGAGACAATAAGTCTGCCAACAACGAAGAAGAAGAGAAGAGCAAAAGCATACAACCCCCCCCCATCCCAATGAAGAGAGAGGAATATATGCTATCGTGCGCCTGATTTTTCTGTTTGAACTATCGTGAGCCATGGGTGGAGATGGTACGACTACTGCTATGGCTGGCGGAGGAGCAGAGGCGCAGTACACAACGGCGAAGACGTCGGTGTGGTGGGACATTGAGAATTGCCAGGTCCCCAAGAGCTGTGACCCCCACGCGATCGCTCAAAACATAAGCTCCGCTCTTGTGAAAATGAAGTACTGTGGTCCGGTCTCCATCTCCGCCTATGGAGACACCAATCGCATCCCTTCGTCCGTACAGCAAGCCCTTTCCAGTACCGGCATCTCCCTCAATCACGTCCCCGCCGGTACACTTTCCTTTATCTCGCGCGCACGCACACACACACTCACTCACTTTGATATATATATACATCCTGTGTATAGATCCAACCGTTTTAGGGCTTCGTGCTAACGTTTCAAGCATATAGATGCCTGTGATTTCTGTATTTGAATGTTATCCGGTGAGAATTTCTGGCAAAGTGATGATTTAGTGGTTAATTTTATTTTCTTCTTGATGTTCGTTTGATCTTGAAGGAGATCTTCTATAATTTTGTATGTGAGGGGTTATTTCTTGGTTTTGTCCCGTTATTAATAACTTGATTATTTTTAGATAATAGTAGATAGAAACAACCAGTCACATGACCTGCCATCCACAGCACAATACCACAATAAATAGAGTTTTCTGAAAAAACCTGCTATTGGAGGAAGACCTTCTATGGATAACAGACATAGGGCTAAAAAGAGAGTCAAAAAAGGATCTTTTGTGTTTAAACATGCATAATCTCGAATGTTCTCAGTTTCGTTATGTAGACCAAATAATACAATGTAAGCAAAAATTTCTAGATTCATGGAGATATAGAACAACATAAAAGTTATCATGCTTGCATTTTTATTATTTGAGTCTCCCACAATTATTTCAATAATTACATATCTGATTTGACCTATATGGTTGTTTTTCTTTGGGGGTCAGGGATGGTAGGGGGATGTGATTGATTGTGGACCTATATAGGATGGTGTTTTTTTTTTAATTATTTGTATCCATTCACATATAATAATAAACATTCTACAACGTTAAGTATTGAATGAGTTGTAGAACCCTTTTAATCCTGCTGATGTGTTGATTGTATTTGTATGAGTATCATCATCTGTGTTGTTTTTATATGCTGGCGGGCGGGCAGGTGTTAAAGACGCAAGTGACAAGAAGATTTTAGTTGATATGCTGTTCTGGGCAGTGGACAATCCTGCCCCTGCAAATTATTTGCTGATTTCCGGTGATCGGGATTTTTCAAACGCACTCCATCAATTACGCATGCGCAGATATAACATCCTACTAGCGCAACCTGTTAAAGCATCCGCTGCCCTTGTTGCGGCTGCCAAGAGTGTATGGCACTGGACAAGTCTTGTCGTTGGAGGGAACCCACTCACAAGTGGTGAATCATCACTACTAGCTAATGCTTACTCTACGTCCAACCATGAAATTTCGCATTCACTTTCTGACAGCATTCCTCTAACCCAGCCTGCCTATTCCAATTCTGGGAGTCTTTCTTTGGGAAATTGCAAGGTCTTGAGTCCTTTAAGGGTTGGTGATACTAAATCCAAAGCGAAATATATTGATAAATATCCAAATCAACCCTGTATTACTAGAGCCTTAAGTATGCCAGTTGGGGTCCAAGAAAACAACAACTTCGAGTATTCTCACCAACCAGAAACTGCACCAACTAAGCAGTTTAGGAATGCTCCTCATGAATTTTTTGGTTCTACCGAGCCAGTAGTCTCTGCAAGTAGGTCTGCTCCCTGTTTCTTTCACGGTGATCCTGATCCTTCAGGTAACAGTGGCAATAATTTCATTGAAAATACGCATAATCAATATAGTCAACCTCGGCCTGCTTTTGCACCGGATAAGTTGTTTTCTCCAGTTTCTCATAACAATGGGTTTCGCCCAATGCCTCCCAGAACTGATGTTCTTAGGTTTCCCGCTACCCCACCCACAAAGATGCTTGATATTTGTGAGCCTAATTTGTCTCAATATCACAACTATTCTCAAAATGCCCCTACATTTAATCAGCAACGTGGAAAAGAGTTCAGACCGAAAGCATTGGACTATCAAAACTTAGCTAGACCCTATGTACCACTTAAAGGCAATACCCCACACAGACACCAGCCATTGTACCATGATACAATGGGCAACAAGTATCCTCGTGGTTCTGAGTTGCCAATTCCTCCATCCTCCTCAATGTTTCCTAAAACTGTTTCTACTAACGCCATCCAGGGATTTCAAGGGTGCCAGCAACCCTCTGAATACATTCAAGGTCTTATAGGGGTTGTCCTACTTGCCTTAAATACGTTAAAACTTGAGAAGATTATGCCTACTGAAGCTAACATAACTGATTGTATCCGTTATGGTGATTCAAAATACCGGAATACGGATGTAAGGAAGGCCTTAGATTATGCACTTGAGCAACAAATGATAGTGAAACAAAATTTGGGTGCAATGCAACTGTATGTGAGTAGAATTGAGAAATTATGGAAATGTGTGAACCCTATTGGTGGTAATCCTTACCAGTATCCAAAAGAAACGTGGGATGGAATTGAGAAGTTTCTGACTGCTGCTGCTGGACGTTCAGCAATAATGGCTTCTCAATGCAGGTAATTTTTTTTTTTGATTTCTTTGTTTTCCTGTTAATTTGGTTGGACACCTGTCTGTAATGCTATACTATCTGCTGTGCAGGTATGAAGCGGCTCTAATTCTGAAAAAGGCATGCTTAAAAGAGCTTGCCTTGGGTGATGTTCTCCAGATCTTGGACATGATAATTACCGTGAAGAGGTGGATCATCAATCCTCAGTCTGGATGGCAACCAATGACTTTTACCCTTGCAGAAATTTCTCCTTATATAGGTGCTGGAACTNTAATTACCGTGAAGAGGTGGATCATCAATCCTCAGTCTGGATGGCAACCAATGACTATTACCCTTGCAGAAATTTCTCCTTATATAGGTGCTGGAACTGCTGCTTGAATTATCAAAGAGGTTGTACTGCCCACAAAGTGGCCCTAGATGACTGGCTGTGAAATAAGGTCAGATAATAATTGGGTTTGTGGGAAGGTTTGTCTACTTTGGGAAAAGTATATTATGAAAGAAAAGAAAAAGCATATTAAATGTGAAGTGATATCTAAGGCGGAAGGGAACTTTTATTTGGCTATACTGGTGGGTTTTTGCCTTTCTNGGTTTGTGGGAAGGTTTGTCTACTTTGGGAAAAGTATATTATGAAAGAAAAGAAAAGGCATATTAAATGTGAAGTGATATCTAAGGCGGAAGGGAACTTTTATTTGGCTATACTGGTGGGTTTTTGCCTTTCTTTTTAAATGCGGTGTGACTATAATGGTTGTTTGGAAGCTATGAAAAAATTGTGGTTATTTGAAGGAAGAAAATGTATACTTGGGTTGTGCTCTATTTCGCTCAAGAAGACGACACAAGTTTTAATGCTGCATAGGTGCTGCATTATTGCAGCTTTCTGCACCCTTGGTCAAACCGCATTGGTAGCTTGTACTTCCAATGAGGCTTCTGTTCACTGGAAGGTATCTGATACATGTTTTTGTCCTTGTATTTCTTGATTGGAAGAAACTAGTTTTCTTGCATTTCCAAAATAGGCGATGTTGGAGAGCACTACTGGCAAAGATGGGGTGATTTTTGTTACAGAATACGGAGAAACTTATATGCATGGATAAGGATTCGTTTCCAAAAATATATACTATCTATCAGCTCAGCCAGCATGTGTGCTGCACTGGCTTGTTGTGTAGGTTGGTGTCTAAACTAGTACAAGCCCTGTGGAAGGAGTTCAGATATGGTTGTTTTTTCTGCACTGTGATTGATTATTGTGGACGTTACGGTGGCCAAATGAACAAAATATGAAGCAACTATGCTTCCATTGTATAGATCTTCAAGTGATCAGAAAGGTGCCTAATCTTTTTATTGAAGTCAAGATGGTATTACAAGACATCTAGAAATGTGGTTATGTGCTACTGTGGATGCGACAGTGCGTATGATTTGTGGAGCGTTGAGGGCATGATAATAATTCTGTGGATGTGGTAAGGGTGTTATGCATTGGCTTGACATAAAAGTTAGGTTTATTTTTTGCCTTCTCCTGGTTCTTTGGTAGCAGGGATGCTTGCTATTTGCGTTGGACATGACCAAATATGCATTTATTTGTTATGTTGATCGACTTGTTATTGACATGTATATGTTATTGCCCCAAAGTAAATGCTGCCGTAAATGTCAAATTCATGAGATGCCAATGGGAATCAGAAAGTCTGCAGGGATTATTCTGTGGTGCAGCAGATGTACTATTTTCCCTGTATGGAAATAGGATACTTACGAAGTGCTACTGTTTTTTTTTAATGTCAATATGTTTTTTTTGCCTCTATATATTCATATAATTTATATTCTAGGAAGTTAATTTTGTTTAGGTAGGACAACTGCAGTAGATCAGAAAAAAAAAAAAAATAGAATGCAATTTTAAGATTTTAGGGAGGGAAATTGATGGGGCTGAAGTTTGTCGACTGTATTTAGTAAATGGGGCGACAACGATGGCATGGGGATCAAGTTTTCATGCAAAGACCAATCGGTTTGGCTTTCACCAGCCTAACAAATCTCAGCCTCATTCTCATCTGGATTCACCAGGTACTGCTGGTCCCGACACTTTGTACCGGGAAATGCGAGTGATGAGAACGAAACTAAGATTTAATTTTCAGATTCTCATTTGTATCTAAAACGGAAATTTCGTTTATCTTCTGGACTGGACTCTAGAACTTTAGCCAAAAAGAGTTCCCATTTGCTTTTTCATGGATCATATAAATCCAACAGAAAATCATATGTAAACCCTGTTTAATAAAAATTTCTTCGAAGTGAACGAGAATGCACAGATACACGTTACTCGTAATTCTAAGAATTACTTAAAAAGAATATTCATGTTGCTGATTAAACAGCTACAGTAACAAAGACAGATTCTCTCCCTTTGGATGTGGTTGCCTTCTCTCCTGCTCAGCTGCAGCATATCATTCAAGCGTTTTTCATCCTGAGGAGTTGTGTTTAAAGATGCTCTTTTCCGCTTTCTGTACATTGTTTGTTTATCAAACAAAAATTTTAACAACACTATATACGATGCCAGATCCACAACGAATCAGCCTGGTGCCTCAAGATTATGGGAGAAAGGGATTCTGAGAAGGATATGCCTTCTTTTGCCTGTTGTAAGCCCTGATATCAAATCAAAGACAAAACAAACACATCCAGTTTTTAGTCAGCTGTGTCATTCTTCGTCAAACAAGAAATGACCATCTCTGGGGTTAAGATTGTCAATCACCTCACCTGGCAGCATTTGATCCACCTAGAGCAACTGTTCCCAGAATGATAAAAAGGAAAGGGATCCCAATCACAGCATGATTTCTTCTTCCTCCCCGTGCCCTTGGAACTCCAGTTCATTCAACTTTGGAATACATAGCTGATCAGACAAAAAAATTCAAATGATGGGATAGTGAATGTGCCATGGCATTACTAGAGAGTACTTACCTTACATTTTTAAGGCAATAAAATTACCTGCACCTGAAACTTCTCGTCTTGCACCTGTAATGGCCATTACATGAAATATTTAGCAAAATTCTACTTGAGGATACCGACTTCATAATTCTTCAAAGGAGGCAATTATCAATGTATCAGGGTTTGCATCTCCCTAGTAACTACCACATTTGATAAAAAGTCACTTGCACAAAAAAAGTGGCTATTGAAGTGATTTAATTATTTGGGAAGTAAAAATTTAAATACTATTGAAGATGAACTCTCATTTTCAAAAGATGAATATTCAGAATTACTTATGTACATGAAAATTTTAATTAGAAAAAAAACAAGTTCAACAAACATAATACAAATAACGAAATGGGAAAAAGCATTAATATGTTCATTGGAGAACAGGAGTGAGCAATCATACATCATAAAAAGAAAAGAAAAGAAACGAAACGTTGACACTGTGCCAAGAATGAAAATGGCAGAAGGGAAGGGAGTGATTATCACCAAAATATCGTAACATAAGAAAGATAAGCAAGCAAGGAAAGGGAACAAATAACATGATACTTTTGGAAAATGAATACGTTGATATTCATATATCACCACAAATTACAAGATCTAACCACTAATCGCATCAATATTTCCAATTGATAGAGGTGTAAATCACTCAGGTTGCCGGACCACATATATATCAACTTCTACACCAAACCATCATAAATCAACTTCAACAACAGTGGTAGCAATCACAAAACAAGTTAGCCTTCAAAACTTAAATAGCCAATGGACCATTTCAGCAGTTCTCCTTACTGCCTCTGATTTCCATCTTCATCTATATCATTTTAATGGTGTCGTCTCCATAGAAGAAGCAGTTTGATAAATTAGAGTTTTAACAAACATTGTATGTGACAATAGCTTTTCTGGACCAATGCATATACAGGCATAGAGAAGAATGATTCAACAGATCATCCCACCAGTAGGGTGATACACCGCTTAAAGAGCAAAGGTGAAGTACTAAGAGTAAATTCAAGGGGTAATCCAATCAGATTATATCATGGCATTATTAATTAGACTGGCAAATGTAATCAATAGCTTGCCTAGTCAAATGGTAGTTTGCAAACCACGATTCTTAAATAGCTTTCCAATTTCCCAAATGTACAGAGACANTTAGACTGGCAAATGTAATCAATAGCTTGCCTAGTCAAATGGTAGTTTGCAAACCATGATTCTTAAATAGCTTTCCAATTTCCCAAATGTACAGAGACGAGAATTACCAGATTGCAAGTAAGTGTAAGCTTCTGAAATCTGCAGCAAACACAATTTATGAGACTCATACAGAAATGATAACCAAACTAGAAGTGGAAGAACAAACAGCTCAGGGCTTTCCAGGATCTAAAATCATTGTTTGGGACGAAATTTTACACTGATAGAATCCCAAACTAACTTGGTATACAAGGCCAATCTTAGTTGCGTAAGTTATTTAGGTTGTTTGGCTTCTACTATTGAAGCACATAATTAGAGATGACAGTGACAGGATCAATGTTACATGAATATGGCAAGAAGTATGCAATTATGGGGCTAGATCTTAAATTTTCATTTTCATATGATGAAGGAACCTGGAGTATTAGTCAACCTATCCACATATTTTCCGATACCCTGGCATAACATTAAGTGTTTTCTCCATGGAATGTGTCCAACATGTATACTCCACTGCTTTTTAAAATCACCATGAAAAGAGAAACCTATGCGAAGAATATTTTAGATCATTTATAATGTCATTGATGAAAATACAAACAAGCATTTGAAAAAAGAGACCTTCAACTAGGATTCAAATCCTTACCAATTTGAACTTGCACTCTGCATGAGGTTTTTGATGAACCGGAAAACGATCAGGATGAGTTTCCCATACCTTCCTTTTGTAGGCTGCTTTAACCTACAAACAGCGATCAAATTGACACGAGTGTTCATATAACTAATAATATTTAAACGACAAACACAAAAGAGTATATCTTTTCTTGTTCATAAGCTCAGGGCTATAAATGTAAATGGACTACACAGAGAACCCCTCGTAACAGGTCATCAAATTTACATGGCTCTGTATAATTGTCATTTCCTTACAGATTTTAAAATCGACTAAGGGATTTCATATTTAGACAATAGTCAGATGTTATTAATATCATGGTTTGAGATGACATGACTCAAAAGAGATTGGTAGCTTTTGAAACATCCAAAGAAACACAAACACTACAAATGATTGATGATTACCCACTCATTTTCTGCAATCATACAAACCAATACAAGAAACAAACTCAGCATATCGCAGATGTGGAATGGCAGACCACCTCATAGCCATACATAAGATGAGAATAGGGTTGATGGGACATTTCCAAGTACTCCAAGATGAAGACACGTGTCCTCGGCGTCACTAAATTCTTTTCCTATAAACGCGACACGTACCCGTCAAATCATAAGTCCCTGTTCCCCCAAGGTACTGTTCATAGGGATCAATGACATCCAGTACGTTTACATATCGACACGTATCCCTCGGGGTCGGATAGGGTACATTGGTCCTACATGTACCAATCCCCCTTGGTACCGAGATGTACCCTCCGTCCAGGATGACGTTTTTTGCTCCTGCAGAGGCTATTGATGTACAGGTCACTAGCCTAGGCTAGACTAGGTTAGCTATCATGACCTCGTCTTACACAATTGGTGTCAGAAGTCACAAGAAGGCAGGGGACATAGCCAATGGGGAATGGACGCGTGACATATTGTGTCACATCAGAGACAAAAAGACCGGATGCCCTTGCTGACACACGACTTGGGAAAACAAGCATTTAATTACATCATTCCCTCGATGAGACAGCATTTAATGCGGTAAGGCTCGGAAGTGAAAGGTAATAAATGTCCCTAAGGCTGGGCATTTATTATATCCTTGCCGAGAGGAGCTCATTAAACAGTCGGCAAGTCGATGACACAGCCTTGGTTGCTCGGGATCCCAAACAGTTAAAAGAGAAGACATTCCTCATAGGAATCAGTGCGCATGTTGCCCCGCATCCAATGATCACCTACTGACCACACTGACAGCAATCATGAGTATTTGAGGTATAAATACTACTCACAAAAGGCAAGATAAACGAAAAAAAGGTGAAACCTTTGCTACAAATTATACTCAGTATTTTCTTCTTCCTCTCTCTCAAAAACTGACTTGATCGTCGGAAGGGATACGCCGGAAAACACTCCGCCGCCCTTCTAACTTGTCTTTCTTTGTTCCAGGAACCTTCCTCAGCCTTACTAGATCGTTCCGTTGATCCACGAGGGTCTCTCATTATCGTTTCAGGTTACCACCGGACCTCACAGGCTGTTCCAAGCAGTAGGGTTGACCACTCGACTAACTCACTCGAGTTCACCAAGGGAGAGATCTGTTATCGTGTTTATATTGTGCAAGATCCAACACGCACAAGGGTGAACTTGAGCTAACCCTTTAATAGTAGGATATGAGTAATACAACCGCCTACTCCTTTTCTGCGCCGAAAAAGAATATCGTATGGCCAGATATCTATGTGCTTAATGGAGTAATTTGTGTGTTATTCGCTAATAAAACATTGAGTTCAAAAGCAGAAGCTTGATTTTAACCCCCCCTCGTCGACAGAAATGCCCAATTTAGCCACAACGTGATCAAGTGGCCTGAGAGTTTAGATAAACAACATAGAAAAGGGAAAAAAAAAAAAAAAGAGAAAAAGAGAAATGTATGCGTGAAGATAGTTGGATTCATCCATATCTAAATATACGTGTATATATAGTATACCTGGTCTAGAGTGGGACGAGTGTCAGGAGGAAACCCTAGCAAGACTCTCGCCTCATCAGCGTGCATGACTAGGGTTTTGGGGAAATCCAGCTTTCTTGAGGTTCGAGAAGAAAGGTTTTGCAGTAAATTTAATCGTCACATTTGGGACGTCTTCGGTTGGGTCTGAATTGAAGCCAACCCGACACGACATCCGGGTCGTAAGACGCAACGATGAGATTTTCGGTAAAATGAGTTTCTTTCTACGACCCCTATCCTTTTTTGTAATTTTTTTTTTAATTTTTATAAAGGATAAAAAATTCTTAAATATATTCTCTAATTACAATAACTTATATCCATATTATCAATGGTGAAATTACACCATGTTTAAAAGATTCAACAGTTATATTTATTTATTTTTTTAAATTTAAATTTATTCTAATTTTTAAAAAAATTTATCTTTCATTAAATTTAAATATCTCTATTGGAGAGGTTTATATCAAATTAAGTNGTCCTCGGCGTCACTAAATTCTTTTCCTATAAACGCGACACGTACCCGTCGGATCATAAGTCCCTGTTCCCCCAAGGTACTGTTCATAGGGATCAATGACATCCAGTACGTTTACATATTGACACGTATCTCNCAAGTACTCCAAGATGAAGACACGTGTCCTCGGCGTCACTAAATTCTTTTCCTATAAACGCGACACGTACCCGTCAAATCATAAGTCCCTGTTCCCCCAAGGTACTGTTCCTAGGGATCAATGACATCCAGTACGTTTACATATTGACACGTATCTCTCGGGGTCGGATAGGGTACATTGGTCCTACATGTACCAATCCCCCTTGGTACCGAGATGTACCCTCCGTCCAGGATGGCGTTTTTTGCTCCTGCAGAGGCTATTGATGTACAGGTCACTAGCCTAGGCTAGGCTAGGTTAGCTATCATGACCTCGTCTTACACAATTGGCGTCAGAAGTCACAAGAAGGCAGGGGACATANAGGGTACATTGGTCCTACATGTACCAATCCCCCTTGGTACCGAGATGTACCCTCCGTCCAGGATGACGTTTTTTGCTCCTGCAGAGGCTATTGATGTACAGGTCACTAGCCTAGGCTAGACTAGGTTAGCTATCATGACCTCGTCTTACACAATTGGTGTCAGAAGTCACAAGAAGGCAGGGGACATAGCCAATGGGGAATGGACGCGTGGCATATTGTGTCACATCAGAGACAAAAAGACCGGATGCCCTTGCTGACACACGACTTGGGAAAACAAACATTTAATTACATCATTCCCTCGATGAGACAGCATTTAATGCGGTAAGGCTCGGAAGTGAAAGGTAATAAATGTCCCTAAGGCTGGGCATTTATTATATCCTTGCCGAGAGGAGCTCATTAAACAGTCGGCAAGTCGATGACACAGCCTTGGTTGCTCGGGATCCCAAACAGTTAAAAGAGAAGACATTCCTCATAGGAATCAGTGCGCACGTTGCCCGTATCTAATGATCACCTACTGACCACACTGACAGCAATCATGAGTTTTTGAGGTATAAATACTCTTCACAAAAGGCAAGACGGGATGCAACGAAAAACCTTTTCTAAAACCTATACTCAGTGTTTTCTTCTTCCCTTCTCTCAAAAACTGACTTGATCGTTGGAGGGGATACGCCAGAAAACACTCCGGCGCCCTTTTAACTTGTCTTTCTCTGTTTCAGGAACTTCCCTCAGTCTTACTGGACCGCTCTCTTGATCCACGAAAGTCACCCATTGCCGTTCCAGGCCAACAACGGATCTCAGCCTGTTCCAAATAACAAGGTCGATCATTTGATTGACTTACTCGAGTTCACCAAAGGAGATATCTGTTCTCGTGTTTATATTGTGCAAGATCTTGCACGCACAATTTTCACACTAAAACGACGTAAATAATGTCGTTTTTATGTGACATGACGTCGTTTTGAAGAATAGTATGCTTACTGTTAAAAAATTAACAGCAGAAGATCAAAATCTTTAAAATTGTTTAGGGTACAAAATGTGATTTACCTTACAACCTACTCTAAGGTTGAAAAACTCTTAGGGAAGAAAACCAAAATAAGAATGTCTTATGACAATTCCGTTTTTATTCTACTATATATTTAGAAATAAATATTCCTTTTCAAATCATCATGTGCAAATTAATAATTCAACCCCAAGAAAAGTTTCCTTGTTGGGATTAGAATTTTTTGAAAGATTCCAAGCACTGTTACAGTCAACTCTCTACAATTGAAACACAAACCTTACTAGCTAGCTCTTAATGATTGAGGAGTGGAGGATGGAACACAAAGCCGGCGTAGGAGCACCTCTATGATAATGACTAAAACTCTAAAATAACTAAAATTCAATTATTTAAAGACTAAAATTATGTTCTATCAAAAAATATTCAAAATAAATAAAATATAATTTTGTTATAGTGAGATTCTATATTTAGAATCTCAATGAAGCATTATGTATAAATAGTTTATATATATTTTCTCTCACTCCTGTCTTTTTCCACCCCTTTTGTCTATTTATTGTCTTTCTCGCCGTTCTTTCTCTCTTTCTAATAGTTTCAAAAAAAGTAAAAAAATGTGAAAAATATTATTTAAAAGAAATAATTAAAATATAAAAAATCTATTAGAATATATATTAAATAATTAAATAATTAAAATAGAAAAAGTTTACTTTTGTATAATTAAAATACAAAATCTTGTTAGAGATGCTCTAATACGCAAATTTACCTCTGACCTTTGAATGAGTGATTTAGGTATTTTGGTGGGTCAGACCAGGTTATGCATATTCTGATTAATCTTTTCTCTGATTCGGTCAAAGGCGGATTATCTACTTTAGAGCTATGACAGTAGAGTAATGCTATTGGGATCTAATTTACTGATATAATTTGTTGACCTAATTCATTGTGACCTTTGGATGGATTGTAGGCCCCATCAAACATTGAAATTTAATATTCATCCAATGATTCCTATAAAATTATATCATTATATTAACAAATTAAGTCAATTTTTTTGGTCAAAATAATATTACTCATGATATTAATACATGCGTATGGAATAACAATCCACTTTCACAATCAATGGAAAGTCATTTTTGAACAAATCAAACAGTTTTAAATGATTTAAACATTTACTTTTACTCAGACGTCTAAGACCAGATTAACCACGGTTTCATGCCATTTTGATACTAGTTGAATTAGACTCTTGTCTTTTTAATTTCCAGAAAACCCTCACTTCCCTTAATTTCATTTATATATGAAATAATTGAACTACTCAGACTCAGCTCGGGCTTAACTCAAGTTCTATAAAAGTCAAGTTTAAAGAATTTTTTAAGCTCATTTTGAAAAACGATCTGAACTGGTTCAAACTCAAGCTCAAGCTCAAGTTTGACTTAATTAACACTCCTAGCTGTATTACAATAGTAGGGGTATAAACATATTATGAAATTGGCTCAATAGTAAGGGTATAATATATTATTCATATATAAAATAAGGGGCTGTTTGATAGCATCACTTAAAGCTTAAATTTGAATACTTTAAACACTTAATAAATTAAATTCGTTTGATAACTTAAAACTCATACTACTTAATATTTAAAACACTTCTTAAACATATGCTAAAATTTTAAATAGTATACTACCTACCTATCATTTAATACTAAAAATGTTAGTTAGTAAATATTTTATCAATTTTTCATAATGAACAAATATATCTTCACCATCATTGTGTCATCACCACCACCACCACCACCACCACCGTTGTACCACCACTATCACCACCGTTGTACCACCACCATCACCACCATCATCATCATCACCGCCACCATTACTACCACCACCACTTGGCTACCGTCACCATCACAATTGTTGTTGCCACTACTGTCATTGTACCATTGTCACCACCACCATCTTCTCCATCACCACCACCACTACTATCATTATGTCATCGTCATCACCACCATTGTGTCACCGCTGCCACTACCACTATTGTGCCACCGCCATCTCCACGACCACCCATCACAATCATCGTTGTTGCCACCCACTATCATTGTGCCACTATCACCATCATCATCGTTGTCATCACCATTACTATTATACCATTGCAACTACTACCGCCACTATTGTCGCCACCACCACCAACACCATTGTTGCCGCCATAACCACCACCACCATTGTGATGGTGGTGATAAGAATAAAGCAGTTGTGAATAAATTATTAAAATAATAATAATTTTTAGATTTCAACTCTTTATATTTGTCAAATAATTTGATTAGCGAAGCAGAACAAGAAGTGGTGGAAATAAGTTTTAGTTCATTCATCGTCCAATATGTATGATTCATCCTTGATTTAAATAGGATAAATTTAAACGAATACCCTTTTTTTTTGGGTCAACTGTCATCGCTAATTTTAATACAATTAGGGTATAACGTGGAAAAGTTACTAATTGTACTATTCTTTTTGGATATAAAGTGTGATTCTCTTAAAAAATATTTAAAAATATTAACGAACACGTGGCAACCATACTTTTTTTTTCCCATTAGCGAATGCTTTTGGACATTTATAATGGTCCAATTATGTTTTTTTGGAACATTTCGAGTGATTGGGAATCCAATTTTTGTTCTTTTGTATAAATCTATCAGTACATAAAATACAGCAACGTAGTTGGTTTGGATGAGTTCCAAAACTCGATCTCAATTTTTTTGAATTTTTTAAATTATAAAATTTAATTTAATTTAATTTTATGTCAGTAGTCCTTTTTGAATAACTTAATTTTTAATTAATAGGATAATTTTTACAATTTCTTTATTATCCCAAATTTCTCTCATGATCTTTCCTTTCCCGTCTTTGTCTAACACACATACTCTCTCTCCTCTAAATTTATTTTTATTTTTTTTCAATTGTCTAATTTTATTTGGTTTTATATCATTGACCTATTTGAATAACTAAATTCCTAAAATTTTTAAGTATTCCAAAATTTTCTCTAATCATATTTTCTTTTCTCCTCCCTCTCTCTCTCTCACACACACACACATACACGCACATTCTTTTTTCCTCATCAAGTACTAATTTTTTTTAAATTTAAATTATTTAATAATAATGCATTGATCTCATTTATTTATATCTTTCATATGACTTATCGCAACTATTTCCACAAACAAATTTATTTTTTCTTTCTTAATTTAGCACAATAATAGATAAT